GTTGTACCCCTTGTAGGCTAACCCACTATAGCCTAGAGATAACACAAACATATAGTTTGACACGGAGGCGGCGGACGGCGGAGCGGCAATCAGGCGGAGCGGGTCTAACAAGCGCGGAGGCTTGGAGACGCGTGGAGGGTCGGAAAGGCGCGGAGGGTTGGCAATGCGCGGAGTCGGGCTAAGGAGGCAGACAAGAGTGTCCATAGCTGCACGTGGGTGCGTTCTACGTGCATGCAGACGGTCGACTCGGCGCGCTTCTGCGCAGTCTACGTGGCATAGCGGCAGAAATTTTGGGGAAGTTACGAAACGAGTAGATGCATGGGGATTAGGTCACGGTTCCAGACTTGTCCGCCCGCCATCCGGCCCAAAATGTCCCTCAGTGACGTGCAAACACACCCGATCATTGGTCACCACACAAGTTTCCAGAAATATTGGAGCAAGGAAGCCAATCAGTCGTGTACTTTCGTCTACACTTGTCCAGACTTTTATGGCGGGCGAACTTCAGAACCGTCATCTTAGCTACATAAATCGCCACAAGAGGTGCTCTAGCTAGGTGGGTGGGAATCCAGAGTCGAACAGATCTGTCAGGGGGGGCAGGGTGTGTTCGAGATGGGCCCTGCACGTTTATCATGATTGTGGTGTTGTCTTTGTTTCAGTTGCATTGTTTCTGTCGCAGGTGGCGAGAGCATCAATATTTCCCGTTATATCTTCACCCATCCAATCAGGTGCTCCAAACCCTAAACATGTGTGGGCAAAACGCTTCCCACTTCGCCCATGTCTCACGAGTGCTGTCGCCCCAACCCATGCGATCATGTGGTGAAGCAATCACTTTTTGCTCCCCCCCCCCTTCACAACCAACGGGCACCTTTGTTGTGGCGCAAAGGTCTTGCCATCCACCCCGACAACTTCGCGCCAACTCTCTCCATTTCGACCTAGACCCAACTAGAAAGCAGGGTCACTATTTTGCCTGCTCGCTTTAAACAAAAATGAAACTGGTCATGGTAATCAAACACCAATTGGATGCATTGATACCCTAGACTGTGATCCCCAACAACCTGCTGCCACAAGCACAGTTCTCTCCCACACTAGCCATGATGTCCCATCCATTGCCCACCCCTAGCATCTCCTCTCCTCTCCTCTCCTCTCCCTGCAGCAGTAAATGTACATCAGCACACAACCATACCACCCATCCAGGGCCTCGGATATCAGGAAAAAAACCCTGAAATTCCTGATTTTGGCAGTCCTTTCTCAACCTACCATGAAAAACCAGTGTTAAGATTTTTGTGGGACTGATCGTTCAGCCTTTTTTGTGAGGCCACACTGAAATTTCAGTTTTTTTACTGCACGGAAACAAACGGCGAACACGGCGGTCAGACGCATCGCCAGCCGCCTGTAATCCGTTTTGAAGCAGTTACCGGCCTCGATTTATTGTTTTCGAGCATAGCGGAAGTCAACGATAAGGAGAAGCCACCAGATCTCGAGCCGCCCGACAAAATCCCGTTCGAACACATCGATGAGGAGGGTTGGTGTGCATCCCTGATAGCGCCAGTCACGGAGCAGGACAGCTCAACGCCTCCAGCTGAAAAACCGGCTCCTGAACACGTGACCAAGAAATCCGGCCGATACATGCAGTCAACGCTGCCATGGTTTACAAAGGGCGCTGACGACGGAGCTACCCCGCCTTCGCCAGCCGACCAACGGTCGTCGCCCGTGATTGCCGACCCGCAGGAGTCGCCATCGGTTCCTGGTCCTTCTAAGCAGTCATGACGCGACGCGATTTACGCTGAGTCTCTGTATAAGTACAAGACCTATCAAAGTAAGCTCATAGGCTAGGGAGCCATTACTAGGGTTTGAGGGTACTAGCGAGAGTGTTGAGAGAGTTGAGCAAGCCAAAGAGGATGATTCAATATTGAGCAAGGGTACAAATAGGAAAGAACATGCAAAGAAAGAAGGTGCACCACGACAACAAGGCATAGAACTACACTAAGTCTATACTACAGGCAATTATAGAATAATGTATACAATTACATTCCGACAAGACCGAGTGGCTAGACAGGTTTTCATGGCTCATTCTTTTGCGGCAATCTGACGGTCTCCCAGCTTTCAAGTGCTCTATCTGTACCGAGCATGCAGGTTACGCTGGAAAGTGCGGGAAGGGCGGGAGGGGCGCCTTGGATGTACAGACGCAGGCTTTCAAGAGGCATCCTGCAACAACGAAGCACAAGGAGGTGGTCAAGCACCAGGAAAAGCTTCTTGCTGAAGCTGGCCGGCAGCCACAGATCAACGGTGACAACCTCGCTTGCGACACCGAGAAGGAACGCGTCATCGAGCTGTGCGACTCTCTGCTCTTCGTAACCAAGCAAGATGCACCCATTGAGTTATGGGTGCATCTTGTTCGCTATCTTGCGGCGAAGAAGGTTCCGATACTCCCCGCAAAGGGATACGGAACCTATTACACAGCGTGAGTACCCGGTGTCAGATATTGTTCGTGATGTTGCTTTTGTTTACCTTTTGTGTAAGCACTAACATTGGCTCACATGCTCCACAGGTACGGCTTTGGGCAACTAGCACAAGCGATTGCCACGTGGTTGCACACAACGCAACTCTAGCACCTCCTTACAAGTCCTTACATCGGAGTTACATGTGACGAGAGCACGGACAGGTGCCGGATAAAGCACATGATCATTTTCGTGACCTTCATCCGTGAGAATCGCGTCGTCACCGAGTTCCTTGCCCTTCTGACCGTGGAGAAGTGTGACGCCACCTCTCTCCTCTACTTGTTTGTGTCCCACCTGCAGGCCCTCGGCATCGAGCCTGCCAAGATTGCTGGTATGAGCACCGATGGCGCGAGTGTGATGATGGGAAGCAAGAATGGTCTTGCCGCTCGACTGCGCCTCCGCATACCGCATCTCGTCTCAAGCCACTGCATAGCCCACAGGTACGTTCGCTTTTGTCCTAGCGCCAATCCTGATTATCCGTACCTCGGCCTTGCTGATACCCCGTGTTGCATGTTTGTGTTGTGATGTGCCTGAAGGGAGGCCCTTGCGGCAAAAGTTGCAGCGGAGGCAATCCCCGAGTTTGACATGGTGGACGGGCTGATCTGTCAAGTCGCTAAGTATCTCTGCCGTTCCAGCCCCTGGCACCAACGATTTTTGGAGCTGTAGGAACTCTTCATGGCTACGAATCTGGAGCTTCAAGGCATTCATCAAGTCCGCTGGCTCTCCAGGGGTGATGCCGTTCTGCGAACGGTGATGGTCTTCCCTGCGCTCATCGTCATGCTGTCTGAGTGGGACGAAACTCTGTACGAGCTCGCCACCAGCTACAGGTTCCATTTCTTGTTGTTCTTCCTTGCAGACGTGCTCGAGCAGCTGAACATCTTGAACAAGTCCTTCCAGCAGCGAGAGGTGAGCAACAAGTCCTTTCAGCGTGTGCTGCACTTCTCATGATGTCTAGTTCTTGTATGTGTGGCTTCTATGTGTGTATGTCAAAGCATTTATATTGTGGGAGCTTAAGCACAACACTGATTGTTTGATAAATCACCCCCCCGGCTCGCTTTCCTTGTGTCCCTCTGTGTTATTTCTGTCGCCCTCTCATAGCGGGCCTGACAGTGACAAGCCCGAGGTGACGATGCAGGGTGTGGACTCTGACGGTCGGCCGACTACACACAAGTTCCAACTGCATGAGAACCCAAGCGAGGACTAGCCAACTCTGGGAACACACGACGCCTGCGTCGATCTCTGCACCTCATTTGCCGAGACGCTCGTCGGTAACCTCAGCAAGAGGTTTGAAGACTTGGACTCCCTTGTGGGAGTGAGGCTCTTCATGCCAGACGAGTACTCGCCTGGGAGAGAGGAGCGCCACAAACAGTGTGTCGAGTGGCTCAAGTCACTCGTCTCGCTGTTGAGGGCATAGGAGACTGACCACATCCTTCCAGGTACTCGCATTTTGTGCACCCTTGTTATCCATGATTCTCTTTGTTCCTATGTTTCAACAGTGCCATGCATACATGGGTATACCATGCCAAGCCATCCAATCTAACTGACAGTCTCCCTTTTGTTTTGTGTGGCAGGGATCGACAAACAGCAGGCGATCAAAGAACTGCGTGCCTTCTGCCCCAACCTCGCAGGTGCCCCGAAGAACGAGCGAAGCTTCCACGTCGGGCTAACAGCGATGCTGAAGACAAGCGACTGGACGACTAGCTACCCCAACCTCGTGCGTCTCTGGGTGGCTGTCGCAGTGCTGCCGCTGAGCACAGTGGAATGTGAGCGCGGGTTTTCCCGCCATAGTATCATCAAATCGTGGCAGCGTGGGAGCCTCAAAGACGCTCGGCTTGAAGATCTCGTCACGATGTCGCTCCTCGACTACGAGCCCGACTACAACGAACTGGTGAAAATCTGGCGCAGCTACAAGAAGCGCCGGCCATTTGGCAATGTGGCAGCACCTCCAGCAAGAGAGGGGGAGGGAAGTGGCAGGGGAAAGGAGGCACTTGAGGAGTGGGAAGAACCAAAGGCGCAGGGGAGTGATGATGAGTCTGATTCCGATGTTGATGCATGCATGACTCCTGTTAGATAAGAGCAACTACTCTGTTCTATGAAGCTACTATACTCCTGAATTTTAAATCAAGACTTTATAATAGTTTCAGCTTTTTTACTAGTGGAACCCTGATGGATCAGTCTATTTTTAGCACAACACTGTCATTCCAGGCTTTTTTTTTTAGGAACACTGTCAATCAGTGTTTACACACAAGGGGACCCTGAAGGGTATACGACCCTAAAATTGAATCTGAGGCCCTGCACCCATCATCACCAGCAAGCCCTCCTTTCCCCCATGTTCGTCTGCCCCACACAGACCCACCCCTCTGCTCTCCAACCTGATTACACTGACTTCAGCCGAGACAGCTTCACAACGACAGGCCCTCTTTCTCTCCGGCTAGCCAGCAACCACAGCAGCAATCAGCAATAAGCAATCCGCCATCTCAGGCACAAACAGCTTCGCTAGACCTACGCCTCCTGCCCCTGCTCAGCTGCTCTCGACGCTACGCGCATCTTCTCCCTCTGCTCCCGCGTGAGCCTCGCAGGCCGCCTGCGCCTGCCGCCCAGCATTCCGCCCCTTGCCCCTGACACATGCCCCCCAGGAGCCTCACCCTCGGGCATTTCCGCGGGCAGGGCGACAGACGCGTTGGTGAACGCGCTGAGCACCACGAAGGCCAGAATCGGGGATAGATCGAGGGTTCCCCCGATAGGGGGAATTAACCCTCGGAAAATGTTCAGGTAGGGGTCGCAGATGGTGCTGAGGGGGCTGACAATGGCGGATGGGGCGTTGGGGAACCAGGTAAGGAGAATCCTCACTATAAGCACAGTGTTGTACAGGTTAAGGAAGCTGTAGATTCCCTGTGTAACGACCAACTCCGCTACAGTATCGCCGGGAATCACGGCGGCGAACGGGGCGTTCGATTGCTTCATGAGCAGGTGAAGGGGTTCCGCGGAGGGGGAGGCGGAGGGGGAACCAAGCAGGGGGAGGCGGAGCCGCTCCCCCACCAGCATCAGCGCATAGTACACGTCAGCAAGGTGGTCCAGCGCGGCTTCCGCCACCTCCTGCGCGAATCCCAGTGCGAACTGGCGCGCGAGTGCCACGTGGCGCTCGGTGATTTGCTGGAGGTCGCGGAGCGGGTAGGGGGAGGTGGCGCGGAGAGCAAGCGGCTTGGTGGTTGCGCTCATGCGGAGGAGGGAGTGAGAGAGGGGGGAGAAGGGGAGCGCGGAGGCGGGGAGGACGGCGGAATCCGCGGAGAGGGTGGGCGCGGAGGCGGAGTAGTGCGCACTGCAGGGAGGGGGGAGCGTGCAGGCGAGGGCGAGGGCCCCTTGAAGGAAGTCGGACGAGTTATGCGCGGCCATGGCTCTGATGAGAGGGGACACGGGATGGACGGGGAGAAACGAGACGAATTAGAGGGATCCGAGGAAAGGGGTGAATGGGATTTATCAGTGGTGCAGGGACGGGCACGAAGGGTTCATACTAACGCCAGGGACATTTAGGGAAGCCGGTTATAAGCTGCTATGGCTCTGATGAGGAGACGGATAAGCGGAAAGGGGGATGGACGGGCTGGGAAGGGAGGAATGGGAAAAGGGAACTTGTTAGTACCCCATAAAGGAGGGGTTTGGATATCGGGGAGCGTAGGGAAGAATTCGCAGGAGCACCGAAAGCAAAAAGCGATGGCGGATAATGCGGCAGGAAATGGTGATGTAAACGTAATGCAGTTTCACTTTGAATTCTACGTTCTTTATCATCCTTTTCCCTGCTTCCTAGCATGTACGGTGCTCGATGCTTTTCTATTTACGCTGCTAAGGAGAGTAGACACGCCGTGGTATTTCAAGAAGGGCAGTCAATAAAGCAATAGAGGCAGACGCGGAATGGACAAGCCACCCTGCTAACAATAACATTGCAAGCCGAAATCTTAAAATGTGTCAAGGGAACATTCACAAGCTTCGGAGGAATGCATGTCGGCAGGAATGACTTCACGTGACTCATGCTCACGCTAACAATGCAATTCCCTCACCTCGAAGGGAGTAAACGACGGACAAGAGATTCCGTCGAACCGAGTTACGACTGCGCGGGATATCAGCGAAGTCAGGTGAAGGCGCAACAATCTGGAGAGTGAATGTTAGTGTTGAGGTGAGTTGCTTGACACCCTTGAAGAATGGTTGATTCTGCTGGTTTTGAGCCTGTGAGGCATGTGGGCGGGGAAGTGGAAGGGACGTGAACGATTGCTTTCCGGTAAGGTTTAGCTGACGGGTTGGAGGGCAAAGTGGTGGATGTGTTGAACTCTGGGGGGGTATGTCTAAGATTAGCACGGGATGGGTTCCGAGCTGTGGTTGCGCCGCTTTTACTGTAATTCAGGAGGTTTTTTGAATTTGGCGTAAAATCACCCTGCGACCTACTTCCTGGAACCGAGGCTTCACTCTGTGACATGTCAACCTACCAGTGCGAATTGAACTTCGATGCCCACATTCCGATAGGGTGAGCCTAAAACAGAAAATAAGAGTGCATTCTTTGCATTCGTCCTTCGTACCTGGCCTCGTTCATAGCTGACATGGAAGCACCTCATACGTCTATGTCTGAAAGAAGAATATTGTTTCAGTACGTGTCTACATATCCCCCAACCTGCCACGTTTGCACACTGCACCTACAGATCCCGACATCCGTGCCAAGACCTGCTTCATACGAACCAGGCATGTTTTCATGTACCACACCCCTATACTTGTAAGGAATTTTACTTTTCCTTACCGGGGTTGACTGCTACGCGTACAACCCCCACATTTCGGACTTCGCACGTTCGGCCGACATCCACGATGCCGAGGCTCCCCCATGTCGCCTTCGGCTTTCCGTTCGCCAAACCTGCACCCAACCTATTTTTCCCTATGTTCCCTCCTAGCTAAGGCATTCACTATATTGGCGCGTGCCTTTGTTACGATATGGAATTGTTGAATAACGCGAAGATGATTGCAGCGAGGACGAAGACCGAGCGACGCAAACAGTTATCGAAGATTGTTGAAATCCGAATGAATTCGAAGTGCAAGCGCGGGAAATGCATTCAAACATTTACCATAACGCGTATTGTTACCGAACCGCACTGTTGGCATTCCCGACGTAGGTTAGCCCTGAAGGGAATGTACCCCCACAGCGTACATGGCTAGCTAGGACCTTTCGTATTCCCTTGTATTCCTATATAAACCCTTGTACCGCACTGTTATAGTCACTTCTACCGAGATTGAAAATTTCCTTCTTCTGACAGGGTCCGTACCCGACATACACTACCAATCTTTCACTGCTACAAGACTCGCGATCAACCTGAGACGATCCTACAAGCTTCTTTTCAGATAGTAACATGGTATGAGAGCCACTCAAATTCTTCGCATCACCACCACTGAATCAAATTCAAATCCAAGGTGGCGTCCGGTACGCGCTCCCACCGAAACATGGCTGGAGGATCTGGTAGGCAGGCGGCTCCCACAGCCGAAGCCCCTGCCAACCCAGCTACGAATTCTGCGGCAAACACCACCGTCAGTAATGTGCTACTCGAGTAACTCATTCAGCGCATCACCACCCTGGAGTCCGGAATTCAGCAAATGAAGAACGGAAACCCCAGAACTTCGCAGCAACCCGAACAACCTGCTGCTCCAACCACATTCGACCTTGGGTCGAATTCTGCCGCTCCAACCACTTCACGTCCAAGCAACGAAGCCATGCTCACAGCCCAGAACAAATTCTTGGCTATCTCAAAGATTCGTACAAGCACCGCCTTCAACGGTCGGGATTTCTGCACGTGGATTTTCGAGCTCGAACTGCTCCTCCAAAGCGCTCAATTTTCTACTTCTTCGACAGAAGCTACCGTGGCCTCGCAAGCGATACCGACGAAGCAAAGGCCCAATACTACAACAAATCGCTCATGGCATACAGTCTCCTGCTGCGCAACATGTCCCCAGCCGAACAACTCAGCATATGTCCGTTAAAAAACGATACAGCCCTCGCGTGTTGAAATGTATTTGTATACATCAATATACCTGCCTACAGTAGATCCTAGAGTAGCTATATGCTTCTTGTTTTGGTGGCGCACCCCTCCTCTTCCCCATATATGTTCTTGTTCTGTTATAGTGAAACCATCTTTCCTCTTTGCAAAACTCTCTCGATACTCAAACCTAAGTCCCCAAGCTACTCAAGCCATGGCTCCTAAGCCTAAGTTACTCTAGCTTCTTGACATGTTATCAGAGTGGTTCTGATCTTAGGACCTACTATTATGGGCCCACCAGTCGCGCTGCTCGTCATGCAGCACCCCTGCCCGTCACGCGCCCCGAGCGCGTGGCGGTTTCCGCCCGTCACACGCCCCGAGCGTGCGTCGGTTTCTGCCCGTCGCACGCCCCGGGCGTGCGTCGGATTCTGCCCGTCGCACGCCCCGGGCGTGCGTCGGTTCTCTGCCTGTCGCACGCCCCGAGCGTGCGTCAGTTCTCTGCCCGTCGCACGCTTACTGCTCGTCGCACGCCCCGGGCGTGTGGCGGTTTCTGCCCGTCGCACGCCCCGGGCGTGCGTCGGTTTTCTGCCCGTCGCGCGCCCCCAGCACGCGACGGTGTTCTGCCCGTCGCACGGGGGCCCCGCTGCCCTGCTTCTCGTCGTCCCTGCCGCCAACTTCCTCCTCCCTCTCCTACTTCGCGTGCAGCAGTTTGGGCCGGGGGGGGGGGGAGGGGGAGGGTGTTGGGGGGAGTCAGGAGTGGCGGTTCGGGGTGGTTGCACCTCCAGCGCCCCGCTGCTCTGCTTCGTCACCAAGCCAGCAGCAGCAGCAGCTGCCGCCACGCCTCCTCCCCTCTCACGGCTGCGCCTGCTGCTGTGGGGGGAGTGGGGGAGAGGGTGTGAGGGGGTGGCGGCTGTTTTTCGTGCGACCTGCGGTCGCCCACGCAGCCCCTGCACCGCCCCCCCGCCCCCCCTTCTCCTCCGTCCCCCTGCTGATCGTGCAGCAAGGGGGGGAGGGTATGGGGGTGGCGGGGGTGGCGAACGACGGTCCTGCTGTCGCCCATGCGGCTCCTACACCCCCCCCCCCCCGCCAGCCCCCCCCTTTATCCTCCATCTCCCTGCTGCTCGTGCAGCAGTGGCGGGTGTGGCGCACGACGGGTTCATGCCCGTCGCGCGCCCTGCTGTCGCCTGAGCGGCTCCTGCACCCCCCCCCCCCCCCCCCCCCCCCGCCCCCCTTTCTCCTCCATCCCCCTGCTACGGGTGCAGCAGTGGGGGGGAGGGGATCTGCAGCACCAGCCCCCCCCCGCCCCCCCCCTTCTCCTCCCTCCCCCTGCTGCGGATGCGGCAGTTTGGGGGAGGGGATCTGCAGCACCAGCCCCCCCCCCCCCCCCGCCCCCCCTTCTCCTCCATCCCCCTGCTGCGGGTGCAGCAGTGGGGGGGAGGGGATCTGCAGCACCAGCCCCCCCGCCCCCCCCCTTCTCCTCCATCCCTGGGGGGTGACGGATAGTGGAGCAGCAGTGGGGGGAGGGGATCTGCAGCATCAGCCCCCCCCCGCCCCACCCCCCCCCTTCTCCCCCATCCCCCTGCTGCAGTTGCAGCAGGGAGGGGGAGGGGATCTGCAGCACCAGTCCTCCCCCCCCAGCCCCCCCCTTCTCCTCCATCCCCCTGCTGCGGGTGCAGCAGTTGGGGGGAGGGGATCTGCAGCGCCCTGCTGCCCTGCTGCCCTGTGCGCCCCGCGCGCCCTGCAGCCCTGTGCGCCCTGCGCGCCCTACTGCCCTGCTGCCCTGTTCGCCCCGCGCGCCCTGCTGCCCTGCAGCCCTGTATGCCCCGCGCGCCCTTCTGCCCTGCTGCCCTGTGCGCCCCGCGCGCCCTGCAGCCCTGTGCGCCCCGCGCGCCCTACTGCCCTCCAGCCCTGCGCGCCCCGCGCGCCCTACTGCCTTGCTGCCCTGTGCGCCTCGCGTGCCCTGCAGCCCTGCGCGCCCCGCGCGCCCTACTGTCCTGCTGCCCTGCGCGCCCCGCGCGCCCTACTGTCCTGCTGCCCTGCGTGCCCTGCAGCCCTGCGCGCCACGCGCACCCTACTGTCCTGCGCGCCCCGCGCGCCCTGCAGCCCTGTGCGCCCCGCGCGCCCTGCTGCCCTGCTGCCCTGTGCGCCCCGCGCGCCATGCAGCCCTGCGCGCCCCGCGCGCCATGCTGTCCTGCGCGCCCCGCGCGCCCTGCTGTCCTGCTGCCCTGCGCGCCCCGCGTGCCCTGCAGCCCTGCGCGCCACGCGCGCCCTGCTGCCCTGCTGTCCTGTGCGCCCCGCGCGCCCTGCAGCCCTGCGCGCCCCGCACGCCCTTCTGTCCTGCGCGCCCCGCGTGCCCTGCTGTCCTGCTGCCCTGCGCGCCCCCCGCGCCCCGCAGCACTGCGCGCCACGCGCGCCCTGCTGTCCTGCGCGCCCCGCGCGCCCTGCTGCCCTGCTGCCCTGTGCGCCCTGCTGCCCTCTGCATGCGCATCTGCAGCCCCATGCACAGCCCCTACCCCGCCCCCCCCCCCCTTCTCCTCCCTCTCCCTGCTGCACGTGCAGCAGTTTGGGTGGGCGGGGAGGGGAGGGGAGGGTGTGAGGGGGAGGTTGCACCTACAGCGCCAGCCTGCCTCCTCTCTCTCCCAGCCGCACCTGCTGCTGTGGGGGGGAGTGTGAAGTGGTGGGGAGGCTCAGGGGATGTGGGTGGTGGGTGACACAACTGCAGCAAATGTCGCCACGCCTCCTCCTCTCTCTCCTCACTGCCGCTGTTGCTGCTGTGGGGGGGAGGTTGAGGGGGTGGTGTGAGTCCAGCTGCAGCATTAGCCACCTCCCCCCACCTCCTCTCCTCTCATGGTCCCTCCTCCTCCTCACTTGCTCTCTCCTTCTTCCGCTGCGCAGGTTGTACCCCTTCAGGGGGTGTTCTGCACATGGCTATTCCTGCATGCAGTTAGGGGCTGTGTCAGAATATATTTTATATATATTTCTGTAGAACTGCATATAGTTATAGCTGTAGTGTAGTTACTGTTATAGTCCCTGTAGGTGGTGCACCCTTTGCCATCTCTCGCTCCTATATCTTGTACCTTCTTCTCTTAGTGAAACATCTTTTCCTCTATCACTTTTACTCTCGACACTCATGTCTAGCCTACCCTAGTATGGCTCCTATCTCCTACTAAGTTACTATCTCAACACCGCGATGACCGCCTGGAGCTACCTCGTCAAATCCTATCAACCTGAGGATTTCGTATCTTCGAGTTGCCTTCTGTAGCAGCTCCTAGAAGTCAAAACGACAAAAAAAAAAAGGCAAATGTCTACATCAATCGATGCCACAATATCCGCAACCAGCTGCAGAAGTTAGGAAACACGATACATGAGGACATGTTCATCACAATCGCTCAAGGACTAGGGCCCCACTGGAACCCGTGCAAGGCCTTACTCCGTCAACAAGGCACCGTCTCCGAAGTGCATCTCTGCGCCACACTCCTGCACAAACAGCAAGACATGGATTTCAACAAAGACAAGGGGGCTCGACGCGAGAAAATTGCCTTCTATTCTGGCCGCGATCAACGTCAGCCCTGAGACTCTCGTGACTCTTGACTGCGCCAATATTTTTGCAAGAACTGCAAAATATTCGATCATTCAACTAAACGCAGCCGATCCGGGCTGCGGCACGATTCCACGCCGTGTAACAACACAACTCTAGGCCTAGACAGCCCGCACCAGGCAAACCGACCGTCTTCGGACCATCGGCATGCCCCGCGCCAGCCACCTCATTCTGTTACGCACACACCTCCATACTCAAGCAACGTTCGCCACGACATTGGCAACATGACGATGCGCGTTCACCGCCGTACACGGCGAACCAACCAAAGCCATCTGCGCCATGTCTCTCCTCCCCGGCATTGACGCGAAGTCGGATACTACAGCTACAACAATCCGTTCACGCAGGATGGGGAGTTCGTTTCTGACGAACACGAGCAGGACTGGGACCTGCCTATTCCACTACTCGAGTCACCGCCAGACGATGAGGATTTCCTGAACTCACCATCTATCCACAACTATTTCTACAGTCATTACATTGACACTCAGCCTGTTGATAACTACCGCTGGGCCGACGACAAGCGCTTCCCTTCCGCAACACACCAAGTCTCGCGTTCTCGGCACAAAATCGAGTTGACGCACACAACACATGGTACCTTGACAGCTGCTGCGGACAGCACATGGTAGGATCCAAGCACTTCATCTCCAACGCACGTCCCATCCCCCAGCCCACCGTCATCACGGTGGCCAACAACCAGCAACCACGCGTGCGGCATCGTTGTCCTCGAGGCACACGACAGCGACATTCACATCACCCTCAACGACGTACTCATCGTACAGGACCTGAAGTACAATCTGCTCTCCTTCGAACAGCTCGTCCACAGCGGCGTTCTCATGAGTACAGACCCAGAGAGCCGGTGCATTCTAATGCACTGGAAGGACTACAGCATCAGAGACAGCAAGCCGCGCTACATCGGCAAGGCGTGCCCTGACAATGGGGTCTACATCCTAGACTTTGACATCCCAGACTGCCGCGCCGACTATGGAGACCTCATTGACCTCCAAACCCAGTGCGCCGTTTGACCACATGACCTCGCCCATCTTGATGGGCGCCCCTGGGTCAAACATCATGCTCACCCCAGGGAGATCAATCTGCACGCACCTGGACCTGATGGCCTCTGCCGCAACTGCCACACACCAACAACCTCCACCACAGAGGAGAAAGCAGACAAGGGGAAAGCACCGGCGGACGGAAAAGGCAAGGCGCCAGCTGATGGAGGCGAGACGCCAGCCGCAAGAGAGAGAAGCAGAGCAACGGCCAAAGAAAAAGGGAAAGCAAAAATCAATGAAGATAAGGAGGCAAAGGCAGAGACATATGAGAAAGTAGAATCAGAAGGAGAACCACCTGTGCCTCTGGACATGGTTGAGGAGGCAGAATGGCAGACTCTACATCCCACAAGCATGCGACACCACGCTGAGCTTGCTGCAGCTCTCACCATTCATCAGCCACGCAAACACCTCACAGATCCCACCGTGCTTGACCGCCTCCACCTCTTGACTCGCTACACGGGACATGGGACCTTAGACGCCAACAACAACCCCCTCCCTCTGGACTGGAAAACTTATCATGTCAATCACCCCTGGTCCTGCCGCACCATGGCGTATGAAGAATTACAACGACGGGAGGAGGAAGAGGACCACCGTCGTGCAGATGCAGAAGCAGCAGCCGCAGCAAAAACCGCCAACCACGGATGGGGTCCAGGCACTGGCACAAAAGCATGGGGATAGACTGCAGCACCTGCACACAACACTAGCTGGGGAGCAGGAAGCAGCACAGCAGCTAGACCAAGGGGAACTACCACAGCTGAAGAGGAGGAACCAATAGAAGACACCATAGCCAGCGTAGAGAAAGAAGTAGCAAAAGAAGCGGGCCCTATGGGCCCGCCAAACCAATCGGCATCCCTCCCTCTGGAAGCTCACCCTCCAGTGACTCATGTGCCTTCTCCAAATCCTCAAGACCACCCTTTGACCACGACACCATCCTACCTTACAACAACTACCCTCACAGCCCACGGCCCTCTAAGTCCACCCCCATCCGCTCAAGTGACCCAACTGACGCTGGCCCTTCCACCATTCACGGACTACCACCACACCACGTCCCACACCCCAATCGCATTGAAGGCACAGCTGACACAGATGACACCGCAGCTCCTCTTGCTGCCCTCACCACAGTAACCCCAGTTCCTCAGCTCACTGCTCGCGATCTCATCCTTGCTCTCTGCCTGTCCATCTCACCACAACCACTCCCACAGCCTCCACCAAGCAACACCGCCGAACTGCTCGCCTTCGCACGCTCACCCGCACTTCGCGCACCACCAAACCTTTGGCACAAGCGTCTCGGTCACCCCTCACAGGAAGTCATCAACAACTGCATCCGAGCCGACGTCATTATTCCTGACACACTGCTCCGCCTCGACAGTACTCCCCTCACTGTTGACACCAATTGCCGCACCGACTGCACAATCTGCCCTGAAGCCGCACTAAACCACAAGCTCTTCAAGCTCCTCGAGCCGAGCACCAACCGCTACGCCAAGGTCCAGAAAGTTAATAGTGACTTTCTCGTTCTTACCCAGACAGGCATCAACGGCGAAGAATACACCCTTACCTTCGTTGTCGCCCACTCTCGCTTCGTCTAGGTGGCCAATGTCTCTCACATGAGCAAGGCATATGACATCTTCAAAGTTTGGCACAGCAACGCCGAGACTCAATCCGGCTACAAGCTGAAGCTTTGGCAAACCGACTGTGCGGCTGAGTTCAAGAGCGACAAGCTGGCAGCATATATTCAGGAAAAAAGGATTGTTCACAAGCTCTTTCTCCCTTACGCGCACCCGCAGCAAGGCGTAGCTGAGCATACAAACTGCACCCTGATGACCAAGGTTCGCGAACTCTTGCAGCAAAGCGACGTTGACGCGAAGTACTAGCCCTTTGCCATAGATCTCGTTGTCGGTCTTCACAACCTGCTCAGCACCACCACACATACTGATCATCTGTCGCTGCACGTCAAGTTCACTGGGGAAAAAGGGGACATCTCCATGCTTCACATCTAGGGCTGCATGGTGCAGTATCGGCCCGCCAAGGCAAACACAAGGAAGTTCGAACGTCGCGCTCGCTGGGGAGTGCACCTCGGCATCAGCTTCGAGCATCACGCCTGGAACATCCTCGACCACTATACCTCTCGGATGGTCACGGCGCGCGACGTCATCTTTTACGAAGACCTTACCATTCACGAGTTTCAGCAGGACCACTACACTGACAGACTCAGAGTCGGCAGGCGAACGGATCATTTGGTGAGCTACGTCCATCCTCCTCGCAGCTACGCAGCCCCTGCTGATGAAGCCGAAGCCGCGCTCGCCAACCAGGATCCAACAGACTCCCTCCCAGGACCACGCCCATGGGACGATGAAGATGAGGACGAGGATAGCGCACCCCTGAACTCCTCTCACGACTCCCTGCTCATCCCCACCCCCTCCTCTGCTCACGACTCTGATGACGACGTGGTGGAAGTTACCAGCAAGCAGCAGCACAGCCTCGTGCTCAAAGCTTGTGAGATATGGGTTCTCGCCGACTGCGCTGCGCTCAAGGGGAGGCGCGTCATCTCAGGCAAGTGGGACTTCCGCGTCAAAACCGCCGCTAACGGAACAATCGAGCACTTCAAAGCCTGCTGGGTCATGCGTGGTTTCGACCAACACCACGGCATTGATTTCGATCAAACTTTCGCTCCCGTCAGCCGCCATACCTCCGTCCGCATCCTTCTTGCCATCGCAGCCGCAAAACACCTCCTGCTTCACCAGGTCGACGCCAAGAACGCCTTCCTTTACGCGCCCATTGACGCACTCATTTTTGTTGAACAGCACCACACCTACGGCGACAGCGACGACTGCATGTGTCAACTGAAGAAGTCTCTTTACGGCATCAAGCAGGCACCACACCTCTGGCAGCAGCACCTCCACCAAATCCTTCTCGACATCGGCTTCACCCAGCTACCCCATGATCCCGGCATGTATCGCCTTCACTACCATGGGGATTACGTTCTTCTCACGGCATACGTGGACGATCTTCTCTACACCGGCACCAGCAATGAGCTCCTCGCACAGTTCAAGAAGAATCTCAGCAGCTGCGTCGAAATCACCAGCACCGACCACGACACCCAATTTCTGGGCCTCAACATCTCCTACGTAGTAGACACCATTCACCTCTCAGCCGCCGAGTACGCAGAAACTTTGTCTGCTAAATTCAACATCAAGCCGGCAAACCTCTCCACCCCCTACCGCTATCCACCAACCACGCACACCCTCAACACCACCCCTGTTCAACCCATCCGGCCACCAACTGTACCAGTAGCAGCTCGGCTGCCTCCTCTTTGCTGTGGTCACATGCAGCCCTGACTTGACCTACATCTCGAGCCAAATCGCTCAGAACGCCAAGCGGCTTGAAGGGGAGAGTATGCTGGATCTGCAGCGCACTCTACAGTACTTCATTTCCACACTGCACATCGGTCTTACCTACTCAACTCTCACGACCCGTGCTTTTAGCCTCATTGGCTATGTGGACTGTCAAAATATTATAATGCTTATATTGTGTAGGCTGTAGTGGGGTAGCCCATAAGGGGTACAACCCAATTAGGGTTAGCACTTGTACTCAGTTCTGTCTCAATTCAATAATTCTCGTTCAGTTTCTTAACATGGTTTCAGAGCAGGTCCTGTTCCAGGACTGTTTTTTTAGGGCCCACCGCATAGTTCCCTGCCCGTAGCGCTGCCCCACTAGTTGCGCTGCCCTGCCCTGCCCGTCGCGCCGCCCTGCTGGCCGAGCGCTGCCCTGCCCTGCCCGTCGCGCCGCCCTGCCAGCCGCACGCAGCCCTGCCCTGCCTGCCTCGCGCCACCCTGCCCTGCCAGTCGCGCCGCCCTGCTGGCTGCGCGTTGCCCTGCCCTGCCCGTCGCGCTGCCCTGCTGGTAGCGCGCCGCCCTACCCTGCCCTTCGCATCGCCCTGCTGGCCGCCGCGTCGCCCTGCCCTGCCCGCGCGCCGCCCTGCTGGCCGCCGCGCCACCCTTCCCTGCCCGCGCGCCGCCGTGCTGGCCGCCGCGGCGCCCTGCCCTGCCCGCGCGCCGCTCTGCCCTGCCCGCACGCCACCCTGCTGGCCGCTGCGCCGCCCTGCCCTGCCCGCGCGACGCCCTGCTGGCCGCCGCACCGCCCTGCCCTGCTTGCACGCCGCTCTTCCCTAGCCGTGCGCCGCCCCGCCCTGCCCTACGCGCTTCCCTAGTGCTCGCGCGATGCCCTGCCCATCGCGCCGTCCTTGCCTGCGTGTTGCCCTGCTGGTCGCGCGCCACCTTGCTCTGCCCGCTATGGCTTCTTTCAGCATTCTCACCTTCGATCATGAGGGCCGTCCAATCCAGTTTGATACGTGGCTTGATTACTTACAGAAGTGCCTACTCAGCGATTATAGAGACAGAGTTTTGTTGTTTGACCACACATCTGGAGCCTCTCTCGCCCCTCCCGACACAGCTGACAGTGCGACTCGCTCACAGTGGCCTACCCGTGACGCTGCTGCTGGCTTAGCCATTTGCAATCACCTGCCGTTAGCCAAACGCGCTCACTTTGGCCAGCACAAGACTGCAAAAGCCCAGTACGACGCTATAGTCGCTCGTTACTCTTCCCCTGCCACTGCTGCTCTCGGCCACCTTATACTGCCCTACCTTTTTTCCGAGCTGTCAGCCTTCGCCACAGTTGAGGACCTCATCACCCACCTTCGCACTAGCGACACTCGCTACCGCGCTGCCCTCACAGCCGAGTTCCTAGACAAGAACCCGCCCCCGATGTACATCACTCTCTACTTCATAGTCACCCGCCTCCCTGACTCTCTTCGCTTAGTCAGGGACCACTTTCTCGCACTTGATCCCATAGACCTCACTGTCGACGTGCTCGAGAAACACCTCCTTGCAGTTGAGACTAGCATAGTAACTGTAGGTGCTGCTCGTGGCACTCCTCGCACAACCTTCTTCGAGGGGTGTTCCCCCTCCCCCCTTGCCTCCTCCTACGCTTCTGCTGCTGCTGTTGACATCCTTGGTACTGAGGAGGTCGTGACTGCTTCTGCTCCTACTGGGAAGCGCCGTAGCGGCAAGGGCAAGGGAGGCAAGAGTGGTGGAGGTGGCAGCGAGGGTGGTGGTGGTGGAGGCGGTGGAGGTAGTGGAGGTGGTGGAAGTGGCGGTGGGAGTGGTGGCGGGAGTGGGGGCTTTGGTGGCAGCGGTAGTGGCAGCGGAGGGAGTGGTGGTGGCGGTTGTGGCGGCAGTGGGAGTGGTGGCAGCGGCACTGGTGGCGGTCGGGGTAGAGCTGTTCAGAGGGGAGGTTCTGGCGGTGACCACAGGCAGCAGCAGCAGCGTCCGAGCGAGACCCCTACGCCCGAGTAGCTTCGTGAGTGGTTTGCTCAGCGTGGGGCGTCTGGGGGTAGTGTTCGCTGCCCGTATGTCATTCGCACAGGTGACCGCGCAGGTCAGACATGCGGGAAGTTTCACACACGGCAC